GGGACTTAGTAAGTCGGTTATAACTAGGGTTTAGGGTTTAGGGTCTAGGGTTTAGGGTTTAGGGTTTATAACTTATAACTAGGGTTACAATTGGGGTAACTCCATTTAGGGTACTCAGAACTCTACTTATAACCTGCTCACTAAGTCCCGTGGGCCTTCAAGGGTTCACTGCTCGGTTTAGGGTGTAGGGCTTAGGCTTCAGCTTTCCATGTTTACGGTGTAGGACATAGGGTGATCGGATTTAGCATTTAGGTGTTCGGGTTTACCTCTATTCCCCCCTTCAGGACGACATGAACCCTAAAAGGGTATAAGGTTCATGTACCATGATAAGGATCCATAGTATAAGGGTATAGGGTCCCTAGTTTTAAGGGTCTTTGGGTCCTTCAGGAGAAGCTAGATCCTGACCATGGAGCTTGCTATCCGAAGTAACGGTTTAGGGTTTAGGGTTACGTGCTCTCCTCAGGCGCTTCGTTGTTAGGAGGTTGTTTTTGAGGGCATTTTATCTACTGCTCTAGTGCTCCCAGAAAGACTTCTTCGGGCTCTTAGGGTCCAGGGCTTTAGGCTTATATGGTTTGAGGGCTAGGGTTTGGGGTTAGGGCTTTTTAGTTTGTATGTGTCAGTGTGGACCCTATGAGTTTTGTTAAATTTCCCTCGAAGAGAAATTGTGTTCCGCCCTAGCACCCTTATAGACCCTTCATTATGACAGAAGTTTCTCAGGGACCTTTTTTTGTGGAAGCCTTAGCGGGACCCCCAGAGCTAAAACGTTTAAACTTGAGAGAACTCTTACTGGTACCCTTGGAAGGGACCCTTCAGAGAGCGTCCCAAACCCAACACCACCCAGACACTCCAAAACCCTTCAAGTAAGGAATATTCCTGAAGAAAATCATTTGAGGGATCCTAGTATTGGGGGGGATATTGAACCCTAAACCGCCTAAACCCTAAACCCTGAACCGTCTGGGACAACCAGGATGGGCATGGTCTGGTCGAAGTGGAGAGACGCTGAACGCCTGGCGCGAAGCCCAGAGGGCGCATGGCTCTGGGGGTCTAAGGCTTACCTTAACCCTAATAACCTACCTTTGTTAAAGACTTTTATAAAGAAATCATAGTAAGGATCCCTAAAAAGGTAGGTTCTTTAGGATCCAGGTAGGGCTTAGAGTTTAGGGTTGTGGGTCCCCGTAAGGGTTTAGGGTTCTTCTTCCGCCCCAGTAACGAGTTTGAACAGATCTCGGCCACTGATGCAGACAAGGCCCTGACAGCGGAAGCCTCTTCGTAAACGGATGAGCCATTGTAGGCCAAGTTAACCACTGAAGTCGAGTCTCGAAGCTCTGACCGTCCCTTAAGCCCAGGCCCGAAACCAGACCTGACCCCAAGAAGCCGTAAGTGTCCCTTCTAGCCCAGGTGGGGTACCGAGAAGCCGCCTCCTGCAATGGGCTCAGTGGTCGTTTATTGTCTTTTGTGTGCAAGAACCGGAGGGCTCCATTAAAGGTACTTGGGGTGGGGTGGGGTGCTGGTATATCTTCGGGTCTAGGATCTAGAGTTTAGGGCTCGGGCTCTGACATAGAGGGGCAAATGCTTTGTCAAAGCGGTTTGGGAGGATGCTGTACTTTAGAACTTTAGAACTAGAAAGAGAGCCCTAAGGTTTAGCATTACCCTAAACTTATGGATAGGATTGGGGGTTTGGGTTGCAAGAGTAGTGTGTGCGGAGTTTCGGGATTGGTGGTCGGGATTAGGATGCTTGTGAGGTTACGGGCATGCAGGTGCTGGCTGTGCAAAGTCATAACCGAGTTTGGGTGCCTTGCTATCAGGAACCAAAATACACATCTATGTCCACTCTAAAGCGCATCTTGGTAGTAGAGTATGTAACCTTTAACCTTCTATAGAGCCTCTGTATATATATATATATAGCCCAAAAGGCCAACCTTCAGTTAGGATACTCGACAAGTAAGACAGTCATAAGCTAAACTGAAACGGGGACCCGCAGCTAGGAGCCCATGAAACGCCAAGCTTCTAGGCCCCTCACTACAAGAACCATCAAGAAACCTAAACCCTAAACCCTCAACTCCCTAAACCCTCAACTCCCAATCCCTAAACTCAAAACCCTCAACTCCTAAACCCTAAACCCTAAACTCCTAAATCCTAAGCCCTAAACTCCTAGACCCTAAACCCTAAACTCCTCTAAGCTCCAAACCCAAAGCCCCAGAGCCCAAAATTTCTCAACCTGCAACCCCACTTCGTGGCCCAGGGGACTTTGTGAGCAGGATATAAATGGAGTTATAGGTACCTTAAATGGAGTTACCCCAATTATGACCTTACTTATAACTCCTAACTCCAATACCCCTTAACCCTATATCCCTATAACCCTATAACCCTACTTATTAACCGACTTGCTAAGTCCCCTGGGCCTCGAAGCAAAGCGCCGAGGTTGCAGTGCAGGATGGAGACGAAGATGCCGCACTGGCCTCTCTGGCCTTTCCAAATTAAAGGGGGTTCCCTTAAACAAAAGGAGCCTTAAGACTTAGACTAGGGTTCCTTTAAAGGGTTCCGTAAGGGTTTCTATGAGGGTTTTAGGGTTAAGGGGCCTTAGTAATTAGACTTTAGAGTAGGGTTTTGGGGCCCATTATTATACTATAATTATAATCAGGAACACCCAAGATAGTATTGGAAATTAGGTAGACCCCTACAGTACCCTCAGGGTCCATGTGCCATTGGAAGGTACCTTACCCTTAAGGTCCATGTGCCTATAGGGATTCCTGTCAGGGTGACGTTAAGGGCTTCTTTAAAGGTTTAGGACCCGAAGTGTCCATGTACCCAAATAGTATATACTTCGGCCTTGAAGTAGTCCAAAAGTACCTACTATTTGGGCACATGGAACCTTAGGGTTAAGTGTTCCTTCAACTTTAGAGTAGAAGCCCAAAAGTTGAAAACCCAATAGCTCAATCCTTATAAGAGTAATGCATCGGGAATCCCAGCATTAGTTGTCCTTAATCCGGTTTCCTATTTCTGGAGGCTTACTACGAAAAAACCGTAAACCCTAAACCCTAAACCCTAAACCCTAAACCCTAAACCCGAACCCTAAACCCGAACCCTAAACCCTAACCCCTTTGGGTTCCTCTGGAGCTCCTCTGGATTCCTTCATGTTAGTATCGTGTGAAGACACAGGGGACTTAGTACGTCGGTTATATGTAGGGTTGTAATCCGTTTAGGGTACTTATAACTCGATATATTATCTACTTACTATGTCTTGTTAAAATGATTCAGGCACTCACATTATGTGTTCGCACAGGGCTCTTCATTCGGTGGGGTAGGGTTTAGGGTCCGGAGTATTGAACGATGCAAAAAGTTACCAAAGATAGAAGCCCACTTGTACTACACCTACACCCTGCATGACCGACACAGATTCACTTGTAAGATCCTTTTCAACTTGCATAGCTTCTCTATTTTTGCCAAACCTCCATAATATAGAAGCCGAAGTCAATTAGCTACTAAGTATTCCTTAGGGCCTCCATAACAAAGAAGCCGAAATCAAGTAGTTACTAAGTATTCCTGAGGGCTCCTTGTGATGCAGTATAGCTCGCGATAGCAGCCCCTGACTTTGGCGGAGCTCCTCGACGCCAAGCGTCCGCTTAAGCTCTGCTTTGATCTCTCGATGTTTGTTCAGGCTGAGTAATGTAGGGGCCTTAATACTTAGCACAGAGTTTTGGGGTATATAGTACTATAGTTATAATCAGGAACCCCCGAAATAGTATAGATAATTACTAAGGCCCCTATATTACATCGTCACGGTGTTGACTGTGGTTCTGCGGCGCAACAGCATGCCCACGATGACATCGAAAGCATGCGCGGTCAAACTTCTCCACTACTCACTCCCTCAGGCCATGTGATTCCGCTTGAAAGGCGAGGGTTTAGGGTTTAGGGTTTAGGGTTTAGGGTTTAGGGTTTGGGGTTTAGGGTTTAGGGTTTAGGGTTTAGGGTTGTGATGGTACATGATGATAAGGGTACCCGTCATGCTGTTCGTCACATGTTGAGGCGGCCGCACTTGGGGAAGCGATCAGTATGGTCCATGGTCTCAGGTGACTGCAACACCCATTCTAAGCATTAAGGTCTCCATAACATAGGGACCTTTATAATTAGAATAGGGTTTTGGCGGTTCCTTATTTCAACTATAGTATAATATACCCCAAAC